CACAGCTATTCACACACTTTACTTACGGTGCCTACTGCTCGCATGACTCGATTATCTGTCTCTATATCTAACTCCGGCTTATATGGTAAAAAAAAAGAGGGCGTCTAGCAAACGCTGGGACGTTCGTGAGGTTGCCCGCTAAGTCACGATCCTTCTAGAAACTCCAGCGCGCATGCTCCTAACGTCGCGTGACTTCCGCTGTCGTAACGATAATAATAAAATTTTTCTGCCAGGTATACTCGCTAGGACTAACAGCTTAGAAGTTGCACGAGCTTTATGTAACTTGGTTAGTGTAACATTTGCTTCTTGTTAACGCATATTTTGACACTTCTTATGGCAGGAATTTTAAAAATCAGGGTCCAAAAGGCTATAAAACAATAAAATGCAATTATAAACGATTGTATAAGGGTAAGAAGTTTTAAACTATTTAGTGTTAAGAAATGTTGTTTCCTGCTACAATTTGAAGTAATTCTAGAAGGAAAAAATTATAATTTTGATTTATTTTTATGGCGGTTACGAAATCGGTCAAATTAATCTAGCCTGATAAAATATGACGATTTATCGAAAAAGAGAGTTAAACTGATGGTGCGGATCGTCAGTAGCGGCTTCTCACCGCTTAGGGCCCTGGCGCAAGTGCGCCACGGTTAATACGGCTCTGCATGTATACTCATGTATCTCTGTAAACTATTTATACCTGAAAATGACTAAATCTTGTCGAAGCGTCGTACATTTATAATAATTTTTCATTACCCAGCTAAGCCGTCTCAAAACTTTTATTTTCTAGAAGTCTGTTCATGACTTTGAAATGCGCCTGCAACCCAGCCAACTAGACGAGACTACCATTGAGTCGATTATGACCGACCACGTGACCATATTTACTTGGGTATAGTTTTAATACTGTAACTTTTAATGAAGTATGTGCATCTTCACAAAATTTGGCAAACGTTTAGTAAACAGTACAAGTCGTTTGTACACAAAAAATCAGTTTTTAAATAAAGTATTTTTTACAAAAGATTTGTCCGTGAATATATAGTCTTTCTTTGACCAGTCCGAGTGCGAAATGATTTTCGTGTTAACATTAAAAATACTTTTCTTCATCCCAAAAGTCATTTGCGTAATCTCTAAGATCTCCCAAATACATTTCAAAGGTTTTTTTTTCCAGTAAAGTTTTATATTTTATCTGTTATTTCCTCTATGCTGACTTTATACAACTTTACAAGGTTGGTCAATTTAACCCACCTCGTAATGACAAAAAACAACAAATGAGAATGACTTCAAATTGGCCTTTTAACCCTACTTTGTATATACTAATGGTAGTAGTGCACTAAATATTGTTTATTTAATTAAGTCTTTGTTTGCGGCTTGTGTAATTCTACCTACCACCCCATGAGCAAATATTCGCGGCGGGTTATTTATAATGCTTGCATCATATGATGTCAACAGCAGTTGAAGGATTAAATAATGCACCAAAGAACATAGAATAATAACATGCAAAAACAGAAAATGTACCATAACTATCACAATTTTTCTGGCTTTCTAACTATGTGTCAAGAGCCGTTACAAATTCATCTACGCTAGTCGATAGGGATAGGTTTCCCGTATTAACAAAGCTTGAACTGAAAGAGAAACTAACACTTTACTGTACAAAAAACAACATAATATGTTATCTGATAGATGAAAACCTCGGCTTTATAATGGTTAAAAACAATATAGTATTAAACGTAAGAGAGAATTATTGACAAATCCTGAAAGAAAGGATGTGACAAGAGGGGTCTGATTTTCTATTTGATGGCTCTGTAAGCAAACAAAATTGAAGGCTATGAAAATTATGCTTTGCCTGAGTAATGACAATATTATAATAAGTAATTTACGTTTAATTTCGTACTTCTTGGAGGGATGGTACATAAATTAGAAAATAGGGGATGCCAAGAGAGCAAATGTCATAATTCTCACACTGGGAGAAATCCT